CCTCAGAGCGGCCCCTGCACCCAAAGGAGAAGGTGCTGGAGCAAGCCTTGCAGTGGTGCAAGCTCCCAGAGCCCAGCGCCGCGTACCTGCTGGTAAGGAAGGTCCCCATCGGCGAGGGCAGCTGTCTCTTCACAGGTAAGGCCATCACAAAGAGTCCCAGCCCCTAGGAGGAGTCCCTAGAGGGGGCAGCTCTGCCTGAGCTTCCCCTTGCCCTGGGAACCACCCTGCAGCCATTAGGGGCCCATCCCTGAGACCCACAGTGGGATATTCCCCTCCAATATCCCAGCCACCCTCACTTGCTCCCAGCCCCCCTGACCCCCATCTCCCCGCACTGGGCAGGCATCAAGCGTGAGACCCCGAAGTGCGGGCTGCTGAAATGCCGCGAGGAGCCCCCCAAGCTGCTGGGGAACAAATTTCAGGAGCGCTACTTGGTCATCCGGGACCGGAGGCTGCTGCTGCTCAAGGAGAAGAGGGTACCCGGGGGTTGCTGTGGGGATGGACCTGCACCCCAGGGGCAGGAGGAGAGGCGGGGAGGAGGAGCCTGGGGTGGCACGCTGGTGGCTGTCCTCCTGGCAGGGAGGGTGGCACCAAGCTGGGCTGACTTGATGGATCTCCTTCCTCAGAGTGCCAAGCCGGAGCGCGAGTGGCCCCTGGATGCAGCCAAGGTTTACATGGGCATTAGGAAGAAGCTGAAGCCACCAGCCCAGTAAGTGGGACCTTCTTTGTCCACGGCCCTGGAGCATGCATCCCTCAGTCCCTCCACGCAGCACATGGACCCAGCTGCTGGGAGCATGCCGAGCCCCAGCAGGACCCAAAGGCATGTCAAACTTGGGCCCGTGGGGCGAGCTCAGCCCCTTACCCCACTTCCCACGGACCCCAGGCTGCGCTTGGTGGTGCTGCCCCACAGCCTGTCTGTTCCTTTTCCCAGGTGGGGTTTCACACTGACCCTGGACAAGCAGCAGCTGTGAGTATCTGCTCCTGTTTTCCTGGGGCTGGGAGGATGTTGAAATCTGTGCCCAGTTTTAGTGGGAGTGGGACAGCCAGGGGCAGTGCTACAGGGTCCTGGGTGTCAGGGCAGAGCTGGTGCCCGGCTGGGGCACTCAAGGGACAGAGTGGTGGGGCCACATGCTGCCTGCCACAAGGTGGGGGCCAGGCTCCAGGGACAACCCGTCTCCATCCCTCATACCCTACCTCCCCATCTAAACCAGCACTGCTGGCGGATGCGACTTCCAAGCACGCAGCACCAGGCTCCAGAGGGACCTGCCCACCCTGCCTGGGCGTGCATGTCACCTGCGTGGCTGTGCTGCCTGCCAGCCTTCACACAACTCTGCTCCGCGTCCCAGCGCACCCAACACCAGGTGCTCCAGCACCCTGCACTCTGCACCAAGCTGGGCTCCCTGCCCCAGCCTCCCTGGCACTACTGGGTGCCCAAGCACACTGGTGCACACTGCTGGTCCTGTCCCCGCTTCCCTGACGCTGGCAGCTGAGCACGTTGCCCGCCCCTGACATGGGGCTATGATCTAAGGGCAGCAAGGAAAGCTGAGCTGGGGTGCCT